GTGACTTTGATAAAGATTTGTCTCATTGGCACTCATACCACATCTTATTAAAAAAAATCTCTGAAACTGACATTGTCAAGATGCTTGATGTTTCGAGGAGTTTTTTTTTCAACAAACAATCGGCATTCCCATCGGAATCAACTGTCCCATCTGCTTGTCAACTTTTTCCTTTATTCATATGTGGCTGACTTCATACAGGAACTCTTAGGAAGAGTGTTTAGCTATATAGATGATGTTCTCTCACTAAATAATTAAAAATTTGGAGACTGTGTTGAACGCATCTATCCCATCGACCTTGAGATAAACGATACAACAGATACGGTTAAGTTTGCCTCTTATCTTGACTTACATCTAGAAATTGACAATGAGGGTCGGTTGAAAACAAAACTTTCTGACAGAAGAAAGAGATGATTTCAGCTTCCCAATTACCATTTGTAGTTAGCAACATTCAAGCAGCGCCTTCAAACGGAGTATATATATCCCAGTTGATAGATATTCCAGGGCTTGTATTTCTTGATAGAGGATTGCTGCTCACAAGAAAGCTATTAAACCAAGAGTTCCAATTGGTGAAGTTATAGTCATTCCTTTTTAAGGTTTACGGACGCCATCACGTATAAAGTCCTTTATTTCTTTTAATGATAATCATGAAATTACAAACAAAATAACAATAAAAGACAGAACAGGCTGGTCATTAATCTACATTTTGAAATATCAAGTTTAGATTCCTTAGTTCCCATTAAAAGCATGCATCCCGCATGTATTATTTTCTTCAAACATTTCTCAATCTTTTAAATGTGTTTCTTCTATCTAAAGAATACTTAAAAATATTGTTTAACGTAAAACAGCTAAACAGCTATCTTTTTGCAGATGGTGGTATTTTGGGCAACTGCCTGGGTTGTTATAATTGGCTGTGTAATTAGCAAGAAGCGCCATTGCAGTAATTTTATGATGTAAAAAACTTCCTTAGCACTAAATGAAATGTGTTTTTTGGTATTATGGTGATTGACAATTGAACTACAGACAAGTATTTTGGTTTTCACTCATTTTTATCCTTTTCACCGGAATTTCAGGGAAAAGACGCTATTTACGTCATTAGTATTTTAAAGTGCGTTTGACAATTGACGACTATTTTCTGTTTTAACAGTTTTTCATATTTTCATACAGAATTTTATTTAGATAACCGAATATGCATAATTGTTGATGTATTGTAAAATAGGAAATTGTCTGTCCTTGACCTTTCATCATGATTTGACTGATTCTCTGACACACTAAATAATTCAAAATTTGGTGACCGTTGAACTTGAGATAAATGATACAACACATACAGTTAAGTCAGTATCTTATCTTGACTTTCATCTAGAAATTGACAGTGAGGGTCGGTTGAAAACAAAACTTTGTGACAAAAGAAAGAGATGATTTCAGCTTCCCAATTACCATTTGTATTAAGCAACATCTAAGCAGCGCCTTCAAACGGAGTATATATCTCCCAGTTGATACGATATTCCAGGGCTTGTATTTCATATCGTGATTTCATTGATAGAGGGTTGCTATTCACAAGAAAGCTATTAAACCAAGAGTTTCAAGCGGTAAAGTTGTGATCATTCCTTTGTTAGTTTTACGGATTCCACCACGTGTAGGTTGACCATTATCGAAAATCCGTTTCCCAGATGATAGCGGAAATGTTCTTATGTCGTAACTACAATCCAGTCACCTTTTCTCGAATGTGACCTACCGAATTATGCGTATTACCGAATTTGTATTAACATGAGCAAGACGACGGGTGCCACATGTTGAGCAGGATCTGCGTATCCTTCCGGAGCACCTGAGATAGCCTCAACTTTTTAGTGGGTTCGTGTTGGTCAGTCTTCTGTTTTGTATTTTGTGTACTGTTGTTTGTCTGCTGGTCTTTTTCTTTTTTAGCCATGGCATTGTCAGTTTTTTTTCGACTTATGAGTTTGAATGTCCCTCTTGTATCTTTCGTCTGTCTTTTATAAACATACCATACATATCTAAGAAGGACTTGTATGTACAAAAACCTAATACTGTTAAAAAATGGTAAAAATCATAATACTCATGACCTGATATTTTGTATCCAAATACTATATGTTTTGCTAATATCTTGTTTTGAAAATTGATTTTTGCTAGAAGATAATGCAGTTTCTCCCAAAAAATGTTTAAAAAATGACCATGTTGTAAAGAAATGTATGGGCAATAATAAATGCAAATAATATACTAATCAATTGAAAAATATAGTTATCGTAATAATTGTAAAACATACATATAATCTAAACTACCAACAAGCGTGATATAGACACTCAGGCGTCGACTGTCGCACTTCAGCGTGGCCGTCAGACTTCGGCGTTCCCATCACACTTCCGAGTCCTACATAAATACTGGCCAAACGAATGTTTTCCCTATAGAAAAACGAATTAAGCTTGCATATATATTTTGATAGTCATGTTTATAGCAAACAATTGAAATGAAAGGGCTTTAATTCTAACAGGAAATAAATGATCCTTTCTTTCAAATCATTCAAATCGTACAAAGTGTATGGATCTTTTTTCATTAACTGATATACATTGATAATATAAACTAAGGCAACAGTAGCGTACCGCTGTTCATTAGTCATAAATCGATTAAACGAAAACAAATCCGGATCACAAACCAAAACCGAGGGAAACACTATAAAAGAAAACAACGGAACAACAGAAATACTGAACTGCTACAAAAACAAACGACAACATATATAAAAACAGACTATTTGTTAACAACTGCCATATCCCTGACTTGTACAGGACATTTTAAGAAAAAATGGTGGGTTGAACCTAGTTTTATGGCTAGCCAACCCTCCAATATTAAAAAATACCGCTTAAATGACATGTTCAACATTACGTGACAGGAATACAGTACAAATAAACGAAAAAAACACCCAGGACAGAAAAATACATAAATAAATAATATAATAGTACATTACAACATGTACACCGCAGAATAACAACGGACACCTTCCACACACAGTACACCACAATAAAATTGTGAACTGTGCGTCACACAAATCTATCTAAGCCACAAAGAGTGACGTAACAGGTAAATTTCTAAAAATAGAAGATAAAATTAAGATTAAGTTTGTAATGGTGTTATTTTATGTATTTTCTAACCATTACAAGAATATTAATTTAGAATTGTGTTAGTAATGGTGTAATTATTTGTATTTTCTAACCATGTCGGTTTTTCTTCTAAATCAAAACTGTGTAAAAACAAATAAATCCTCTACATATAGTTGCCTGAAACTAAAATCTTATAAGTGAACTAGCTGATTAATTATCTTAACTTTTACATACATATAGAAAATAAAAATAGAATTCAAACCACAAACAATATCGAACCAGACTTACAAAAGACACATCATAATTTAATATATGAATGTTGGATGTATAAATACCGAGACACTTCGTATAGCAATGCGAATTCACACTCGGCAAAACAGTCATAATCGGGAACAGGTCACGTTCGGTACTTAGCCGACTAGCCGACGTATATGGTAAACCACAATCTAAACGTGGTAAAGATGTCATTAGTTAGTTTAGACACAGACACATCGTATAGATCAACCAATTCGTGATAGAGTCCATTAAATTTTCGGAGTGCCATTTTAAATTGTCCCTCCTCATAACTCTGTTGGAGCAGTGTTTGTGTAAAAAGCACACTCCTGTATATGAAGTCCGTATAGGGTGAACATACACTAGCATAACGTATCACCTGAGATATGTAAACACCATACGATGGGTATGTTACTGCTGAGAAATGGGAAATTGATAATTAGGGAGTTGAAATCGTATCGTTTGTCATAGATTTAAGTGTGAAGTCGTCATTCTTTGTCAATATTGAAATAATCAAGGTATTAATCAGTTCTTCTAGTATCAGTAGTATACTTAATTTCAAGTTCACTGGGATATATGAGATGTGAGTACTGACTTAAATATATGTTATTCAGTGATAGGACATCATCAATATATCTGAAAGTAAAATTTAAGAATTTCGAAAGGTGCCTTTTTTTTTACTTTTAGAAGGTTCTAAATGAATTCTGCTTCATACGAGTACAAAAACAAATCGGCCAGTAAGGGTGCACAATTAGTACCCATAGGAATACCGACTGACTGTTGAAATATCAATCCTCTAAACTCAACAAATATATTGTCAATCAAAAAGTCCAGCAGTTTGATAATATCATCTTCTGTATATTTTCTGATAGAATCAGTGTGGTTCTTCACAAAAGTATAAATTATTATAACCCGAAACAAGAAATTTATATCTACGATTCCCATTTTATAGACAAAGCACTGGTTAAAAATATCTCATCACAACATTTTTGGAGACCATCTTTTTGCAGTGATATTTTCGGTGCTGTTAAAGTGTGTTTGAAATTTCTGTCAGCAAGTTAACATTATCAGTATATCAGGTGTCCTTTATTAAATATGTTGTTGTTTAAATTATTCGTTAATCAAGCAACAACCAATCAAATTGCTGAAAAAAATCATAGAACAATATAGCTTACATACAAGCCACATTCAAATATACGTTTACACCGGAAACTCTAAGCAACATCTCTAAAGTTCCAAGCAATATGAATAACAATAACACACTTGCCATCATGGGACACCTTGTGTTAATTATGGTTTATGTTACTGAGAGGTTTCAGAAAGAAAACGGCTTTCTAAAAAGTACACAATACATACACATTGATTCAAAATTAAGTGCACTTCGTTAACACAAACAATACGTCGATAATAAGTTAAGAGTAATTTAGCATTGAGAAATATTGAAACAGATTAATAATGTAGAAGAATTTCAAAATGTATATAATCCAGATTGTTCAGTTATCGTTATGACTTTTACTGTTTTATAGTTTATAGTAATGGTTTTCATTTATTTTTTAGGTACTATACAACTGCTCCATATTATTTTATTATTCTTGACCTAAAATCTTAATTTAATTTCAGGTGAAAAATATGTTATAACTGGTAATCTGCGAAATGTAGACTGTTCGTCAGAACGATATCAGCCTTTCCGGTTATGGTCAAATGTAAGTGGAGAGTGTTTGAATCAAAAGTCGTTGTGTGAAGGAGAAGGCCAAGTTATCGTCAAAAATGGGTCGCTCATTGGAGATAGAACATGTCGTTGCGATTACACGAAAGGATATAAATTCATCAAACGACCAAAACAGAACTGTTCTTGTTCACCATTACAGGAGGATTGTTCATGTTACATCAGTAAATGTCCTGGTGGTTCAGTTTTGACGTCAGGTAAATTTTAATATGACATCAAAGAGAGGAGGACGGTACCAAACGGAAATTGAAACTCATAAGTCGATGTCAAACTGACAAAGCCATGGCAAAACCCAGAAAAAAGCTAACGTAAGACAAACAACAGTATACAAATCACAACATAGAAAACGAAAGTGACTGAGGAACACCCCCCCCCCCCTCCAAAATAAACGAAAAAAAAAAAACGCTGATGTTATCAGTTGCTCCTTGAGGGTAAGCAGATCATCCTCGTCACATGGCAATCGTCATTTTACTCATGTAAGTTTTAACTCCGTTTTAAGTCTAATTCGTTGGTTTTATATTCGATGACAAGAAAACGAGAGTCTGGTTATGACAGTTGCAGCATTTCCATCGTCTACTGTGAAATAGATATTTCAATACGGTCAACCAAGTCCGTAACATTTTCGAACGAATTACTTTAGCTGCACCACCTAGAAGACCTTGGTTAAAAAGCTTCCTTGTAAACACCAACTCACTTTTAAGGAAATCATGATAGGAAATGCAACGAAGTATCGTTTCAACTGGGAAATATAAACACCATATGTAGGCGCTGCAGGAATTTTGCTACATAGAAATGGAAAGTGCATATTTTGATCTTAATCATCTCCTTTGTCTCAAAATTATTTATTGAACCATCCCGAATTGTCAATTTCTACAGGTAAATCAAGATATGATGCAGCCGCCTTAAATGTACCTGGTGTGTCCTTTAATTTAAGTTTGCTAGAATAGATGCATTCAACATAGTCATCAAACGTTTACCTAAATAGTGAAAGAGCATCCTCTATATGGCTGAATATAAAGTTAAAGGATAATGCTGATTTTTTTTATTCTTCTATAAAGAAGGTCCTATATAAATAAAGGAACAAGCCAACAAGAAGATAAGAACAATTTGTTTCAATAGGAATGTCGATTTTTTGTTGAAAAAAAAAACACAAACTACAAACGTAACAGTTTCAGAGTGTTTGATGTTTTAATCAAAGTTTAGTTTTGATTGTGCCTTCTTCAAACAAGATTTTTGTAGCTACGTTGGTCATACTTTTTTTGATATAATAAAGAGATAATTGATTACCTTTGCAATTCTAAATTTTAGTTGTGAAGTAGTATACAAATGGTTTAGTAATACACAGTAGCAATAGAAAGATAAATCCTCAATATGCAGTTGTTACATGTGTGATGTAGGAATTAATCATCAATACAAAAATAAGAAGACGGGTGTAATCTAAATGAGACAATTAATCCTCAACCAAAGGACAATCGTATGAACAATTTAAGACCATCGTATGCCATTATATATTGAACAAATCAATTAGATGACATTGAAATCCAAATGTTAGATTCGCCGTTCTTGTACTTTATCACAGGCCTAATATCTTGCATTACTGCATGGATATAACAAAATAAAATGCTTGTCGAAAAGAAGTAGGATGCAGACATTGCTTAAAATGTCTGACCTTTTTTTTCTGTGTCATTTAAAAGAGAGGCGAATGATTCCAGAGGGACATTGAAACTCATATGTCGAAAATAAACAGAAAGCGCCATGGCTGCAAAAGAAAAAGACCAATAAACAAACAATAGTATACAAAAAGCAACATAGAAAACTAACGAATGAGGAACACGAACCCCCCAAATCTCAGGTGCTCCGGAAGGGTAAGCAGATGCTGTTCCACATGTGGCACCCGTCGTGTGACTCGTGGTATTACAAACCCGGTAATAAGTCTAATTTGGTAGGTCACATTCAGGAAAAGGGTACGGGATTGTAGTTACGACATTAAGAACATATCCGTTATCATCTGTGAAACGGATATTCCATAACGGTCAACCAACTCGTGATGGCGTCCGTAAAACTTACGAAGGGATGACTTCAACTTCACCACTTGTAACTCTTGGTTTAATAGCAACTTTGTGAGCAGCAACCCTCTATCAAGGAAATCATGATAGAAAATACAAGCCCTGGAATATCGTATCAACTGATAGATATATACTCCGTATGCAGGCGCTGCTGGGATGTTAGTACATAGAAATGGAAGGTTCACCATTGGGAAGCTGAAATAATCTCTTTTGTCGTAAAGTTTTGTTTCCAACTGACCCTCATTGTCAATCTTTCTAGATGTAAGTCAAGATATGAGGCAGACTTAACTGTATCTGTTGTATCCTTTAATTGGATATATGCCATCAAGTTTGTTCATAAATGTTTACTTTTCATAAACAAAAAGTAAATTTGATCACTTTATTAATAGCAAAACTGATACTACTAGCTTCAATTCATTTCTATTTGGAAATGCCGTATTTGTAGTCTTCCTCATTGAAGAAAACGAATAAGTCGACAAGCCAAGTATCGAAGTTAGCTCTAATGTTTTAAAACAATACTTAACAAAACATAATTAGTTTATTTTCAATTAAAAATACTGGTGGTACTAATAAGAACTTAAATTACCTATGATCGACAGTGTAGGAACAAATATTATAGATCCTATCAATATTGCAAACTACTTAAACAGTATTCAAAATATGATGAAAGTAACAAGTACATCAAAACGCTCTTGCCATAAGAAGGCACACATTAACAAAACAATCAGCTTATCAAAAGTCGGATGAACCCAATTAGTAATTATGACTTACAGCAACTAACGGCGATACTCGTTGACTCCGCTATGGACAGACACATCAAGAATGTGTCGACGTTAAACATGTTTCTTAATCTTTGATCGGATCGAAACTAAGAAACATAAAGGAAAAGCTACCTCCACAAAAGTGGTTCTATGAAAAATTACAGTTACTGAAATTGATTGCAAAGCATAATTTCAACTAATAAATTTAACCATGTTCTGACACACTCCACAGGAATTCAATACGCATCCAACATAATTTATGTAAGAATATAATGTTGGAAAATAAGTGTGAATTACTTGATATCGTTATATTTTTACTTATGTTCAACTATTGGAAATTATATTAAAGTTCAAAATTTATTATCTATAATTATCTAAGTTATGAGAATTTTCTGATTTTTTGTTTGTTTTTATAATTACTATATTAATGAACATTTTTGCCAGTGAATGTAAAAAGGGTTCGAGTTCATCTTTATATCTTAATCAATATGTTGTCGATGAATTAACAGCAACTATGTTGGAGTATTTCAAAATTCACATTACGGACATTGAAAGAATTTCACTACACTTTACACTTGGTCGCAAATGAATTTACAGTAAATGAAGTATGTGATTATATAAATTAATTAATCAATATCAAATTATTTCATTATTTGTATACTACACTTCAAAATTGTTTGTCAAAAAGAAATGATTCTTTAATTAAAGTGTTTGTGAGAATTCAAATGATCCTAACCTTAGCATTTAAACAGTACAACATTTAAACACACTGTAAAATGTCAATTAAGTAGAAGGACTTGATTCATAAGATCGGTTCTAATCTAAGAACAACACCAACAATCAGCATGACAAAGGTCAGATAGCTATTACAAAGCTCAAATTATCATAGTTAATGATTTGAGTTTTCGGATGCTTAATTATCAGCCTAATTCGGGTTAAAATTAACAAGTCATCAACCGTATAAACAACATGATTATATGTAGGACGATCAGTTTTCATAAATGAATGAAAATACATAATTAGGTCTGTGAAACTCAAATATCCAAATAGAAAAAGACAAGTATTGCTATCAATATAAGATCAATTTAAAGTTAGTACCATCGGGAAAATTTCTGCGGTGTTTTTATAATTATTAGAAGATGTGGTATGAGTGCCAATTAGACAACTCTCCATCCAAGTAACAATTATAGGTCAAAGTAGGCCGTCAACACGGAGCCTTGGCTAACACCGAACAACAAGCTATAAAGGTAAAAAAAATGACTAGTGTAAAACAATTGAAACAGGAAAACCAACGGTCTAATCTTTATAATAAACGAGAAACGCCTATGAACCACCCCAAAAACGACAACCACGGAACAACAGGCTCCTGACAGGTGCATACAAATGCATGTATTACGGTATAGTTCCTTATTATCTATAGCCAAAACATCATCAGTATTAAGTGTACATGCCATAAACTATTTCCTAAAAAAAATAGAATAAAGACGGACGTTTACTTTACATCCATTTCATAACAATACAGGAACAAGTATCTTTTTAACAAGGAGCCAATCGAAATAGCTACAGCCTCATCCTTTTGATACCTCTATTGCCTAAATGTTGATAAATTTTGTCCATGAGAAAATACACAGCCTCAATCATCTTATCACAGTTACCATACGCATGTATAATAGAAAAACAAAGTATATTGGGTATCCATTCATAACACAAAATCAGTACATGCACAGCAAAAACACACGAAAAGCAAAGGAACAGCGCTTGTATTGCTGTTCTTCATCTTAAAGTCACCCTAATATTGACTTCTAAATGTTATACCAAAATATCTGCTATATTTGTTTATTTGCTCAAATAATTTTTTGACAGATTCCTTCTAGATCCGTTTTCACCATTTTTAAGAATAAGATGACAAGGTATCTTAAATGACCTGCTGATTTTCTATTCAGCTAATGTTTCGATTGTGAACGATATTTTGATTTTTTTTATCAGAAGGTCTAACTTTTCTCAAAACAAGGGATGTTTTAATGTGTTAATAAGTTATGAACTATATGACAACAAGGGATTTAATACAGTTTGGTCAAATTAATATAAAGTCAACTTTGCCTTAGCAGGTTTGAGCCTAGCGTTGAATAATATCCTGATTTTGAAAAAGGAGTTTATTAGAAATTCGAGGGTAAACGTGTTTGTTTACAAACAATCAGCATTCCCATGAGAACCAACTGTGGTCCTCTTCTTATCGACTTGTTCCTTAATTCATATGAGGCTGACTGCAAAAAAGAACTTCCTAGAAAAGAGGGGCAAAGGATACCAAAGGAACATTCAAACGCATAAGTCGCAAATAAACTGACAACGCCATGGCTAAAAACTAAAAAACAAAACAAACAAAAAATGAGCAACATTTGTTCAAACCCCCCAAAAAACATGATGTGATCTCCGGTGTTTCGGAAGGGTAAGCAGAATCTGCATCACATATGGCACCCGTCGTGTTGCTCATGTTAGAACAAACCCGCTGATAAGTCTTATTCGGTAAGTCACAATCGGGGAAAAGATGACGGGATTGCAGTTACGACAATTTGAACATACCAGTTGTCTTCTACAGTCCTATCCCATTTCCCCCGAATGTTACCTATCGAATTAGAAATATCACCAGGTTGAACTTGCATGAGCAACAAGAAGAATGCCACATGTCGAGAAGGGTTTGTTTACCCTTCAAGAGCAACTTACATCACCCCCAGTGCTTGGTAGGTTTCGTGCCGCCCAGTCTTTAGTTTTCTATGTTCTGTTTGTGAACTGTTGTTTGTTGATTGCTCTTTTTTTCTTTTTTCTTTTTTAGTCATGACGTGGTCAGTTGATTTTCGACTTTTGATTGTTCCTTGGTATCTTTCGCATCCCTTTTAGTGCTTAACCATACTAAAGAGATTAAAGCAATCAACACCTATGTTAAAAATATGTATATATTAATTTAAGAACATGTATTAAAGACGCATTAGGTACGAGATATAAAACAATTAAAATAAGATTTTCGTTTTTTTAAATTTTTAATGAAAGTGAAAAAAGTGAAATAATAATTCACTTTTAGAATGCACGCGCAGCCAATTTTGTTCAATTTTGTAAAAATAAACTTCTTTTTAAATAAATCAAATACTATACTTACTTTAAATAAATCAAATATATACTGTAATTAGATCTTTGAATATTGTTTTTATTGGTTTTAATATTATTTTTGTTATCAGTAAATTAAAATCAAACTAATATTATTTTTACATACATATGCACATTAACAATATGTCGATACCTGTATCTTAGCATTGCACAAGGTCATGTTTTTCTCTTGATTGTTTATGAAGTTTTTAGACTAAATCCATTGGAAGTTGGATGTGAACTGATTTATATTTTAGTCTTAGATGCATGATTTTTTTTATTAGATAGTATTGGCTTTGAACTAGCTGTCAGTAACTGCGACTACTCATAGATCTGTACTTAGTGCCTTTATGTTTGTGGGGATGTATTAGTACCCGTCCACATCCACTTTTTGTTAGATGTACATTTTTTGTATCCATCTGATGAGTTAAGCCTTTTTCAACTGGTTTTTAGAGTTAGTTCATATGTTGCACTGTTACACCACTGTCCCAGGTTAGGAGGATAGTTGGTGCCTTCAAACGAGTTTAACCCCGCTACATTCTGTATGTGCCTGTCCCACGTCAGGATCCTGTAATGTAGTGGTTTTCGTTTGATGCTGTGTAACATGTTCGTTTATTGTTAATTATTTGAAAAAAATAATTAGACCGTTAGTTTTCTCGTTTCAATTGTCATTTCGTGGCCTTTTATAGCTGATTATGGAGTATGGGATTTGCTCATTGTTGAAGGCCGTACGGTGACCTATAGTTGTTAATTTCTGTGTCATTTGGTCTTGAGAATATGAGAATTCGTGTCAAATCGATGAATATAAATTTGACAGCTAATGACCATTTAATGAACTTCAGGTATAAGTTTTTGAAGTTATGTAGTCTGTCAAATGATTAGTACTGCGATGGGGATTATTGTTAACTGTGCAATTATGTTTATAGATATACTCCTTTAATATAATGGATCAAACTCACAATGTAAAGGCCTCTTAAAGATACACCACTTGAAATACACTGTTAAAGATACCGAAAATTATTTTAGCAATGCAGCTTTTGTAAATAATCAGGACTTTTTATAAATAAACAAATTAAATGTTTTTACCACATGCCAATGTAACTACTATTCAACGTTAATAGTGGCCGATGCCATTTTTAAGACCTTGATATTGACAGTGAATGGTAAATTGTATCGTATAATATACAACGAAATTCAAAAATATGGATTGCTATATGAATGCTTATGGATTAGTGTCAGGAGTTTCAAGGTCTTCTTTAGATACACATTCACTGTTTTGAAAAAAAAATATTTATTTGTTTCAGATTATAAATGTGTTGAGGAAAAACACCATGTTGACTCGAAGTGTCCTCTTATAGTTATCGAAAGGTATGGCTTCTAAATAATTGTCTGTCTACAAATAAAAGAATTTAGCGGTCCCTTCATTATATAGTATTTCTACTGAATGTTTAAAATAGTGCTGTGGAATTAAAGGTCGGAGAAAAATGAGTTGTTATTTGTGTAAAAAGGAGATATCCGGCGAGCAACATTCATTTAAGAGAGATTATACCGGCAGAAAAATAAAATCAAACATTAATCCATTAAACACTACACGAGAAACCTGAAATGTAGACATTCTGTTCCAACTGATGGTATTTTACAAGTTCATATTCGGTAACAAAACATATTCAAAGATATCATTCCTGCGGAAAAGAGAATGAAGTGAGTTCATCTGATAGAAGATATCAGATTTAGAAAAGGACCATGTCCTTCGACAACTGCAACATACTTTTAGTCATCCGTCAAGCTGGCAAGAAATTTGTATTAGTCTTAAACAGGCATTTTACATCATCTGAAAAGTCTTAACCTAAAAGTCCTGTGAAGGGCTTAAATTATTTTTCAGATGCAAATTCAGTACTGTGTAGACATTCGGCTTGGAGTCAATCCATTATAGTTGAGAAAATTAAAAACAAATAAGTATGTTGATGTACCGTACAGGTGAATGACAACTACTTGCCTGTCTGAACATAGCCTGAAGAAATCTGAATTGACCCCTAGCCAATATTCTAAACAGTACGTAAATGGCTGCATTGGAAAAGTCTGAAATTTACTAAAAGAATGAACATCACTTTATTATATATTGTACAGTCTTTTATGAGCTGTTCAGATAAACAAAGATCCATCTAAACTAAACCAAGATGGACGATTTCGTAAAATGTATACTTCGATCGCATCATTTGTTGCGTAAGAAGCGCTTTTGGGTATTTTATTTTCATCAACATGAACGCACCACAAAAGAATATGCCATTTTAGTGTGGTCGGTAAAATAGGATGCAAATCATGCAAATCTTTGCAGAAAATAATTATTTTGACAGTAATATTTTAAGGTTTTCCTTGTCGTATAACACACATTGTGGTGTGTTATACAACAAGAAAACCCTTTAAATATGCATTATCTGTAACTCATTCTTCAACAATAGAAAGAACTGGTGTTTCATAACACTTTGTCAAATTCTAAATCATTCTTAGCTATTTAAAGGTATTGAGTACATCAACCAGGAACGCTTAAAAATCTGTTGCAAAATAATCAAAATAACAATAAGTTGACATAAGATAACCACTGGTGAGGTTCCTGACTTGTGACAGGCACACTTGTGCATGTCGGGTTTCAACCAGTGTTGATTAGATTTTCATTCCTAATCTTAATTTCGATAAGTGGACTAATGTGCGTAAAAATCAATTTATGCAACAAATATTAAAAAATACACACACAGTATTACAGTATTAACTATTATCTTGATTTTAAAGAATGTCAAACAAAGATAAATGTAAACTATGATACCATTATAGACACGTGATTAATATAGTAGCAAAAAACCGCATGTTACTGCTTCATTGAGGCATATAACTTTTTTTTTAATTTCACAATAAAAGATGGTAGTTGTAACAAGGAGATTTAATACGACGAATTTTTAGATTTTCTTCTGCTATATTTCGTTTGTGCTTAATTTGTAGAGGTGGTTTACAGATTACAGAAGTTAAAACGAATGCGGGTAAATATGCATAATCGGTTTGTTGCCTTTTCCGCCATTCATTCACTTATAACTGTGTGCTAACTATAAACAACAGACCTATCACCAACTAAACCGGTCTTTAGAAATAAATTTAAACTGCTTTAAACCTACGTTAGGGGGTATCTTATTTGTTTTGTAATTGGGAAGTATTTTTCAACAAATAAGTCGCCCGTCCAATGGAAACAACTGTCATGTCAACTTGCTCTTTGTTCATTTGAGACAGACTTCAGGATCTATACAGGAAGAACGAAATAAAGCTAACATTATATGTAATGTTATGCTATATATATGATGTCGGCTTACTCTTCTGGAGCATCTGGGATCACTCCCGGTTTTTTGGTGGGATTCGTGTTGCTCAATCTTAAGTTTTAAAAGTTGTGCTTTGTAAACTGTTCGTTTTTTGCCATGGCGTTGTCAGTTTCCCTTCGACTTACTAGTTTGGAATGTGCCCTTGTTATCCTCCGCTTCTATTTCTTTTTGATACGAATCTGTCACTTGAAAAACATAATAAGCCTTAACTGAAACAGTTACGAACTTAAATTATTCATTATTACATAAATTGAAAACTGAAATACTTTTGAAAAAACACCAACCAGTTAAGTTCATACGCATACGTTCCTTTGCACCTACACACAAATTGTTTTACTCCTGCAATAAGTTTCGCATTGCCATTTCATTCATAATGATGAATCTTAATTACTCTTTAGAAAATGGGAAACAGCTGCGGACCAGTTCGATTGCAGCGAGCACAATTATTCTTCTGATTCTAGCATATGCAGGTACAGTTTTATTTGGGGGTTATTTTGTGTAAATCAACGATTTACGACAGTGAGCGGTACGAAATTTATTATTACAGCTATTACCTCAAATTCGTGCAAGTTGTATAATCCTTAAAAAATGAATTCCAAAGATAGATATTTGACCATTAACATCTTTTTTTTTTGTTTCGTTTGGTTATTACATAATGTTACTTATATGCACATAGACTTTAATTGAAATATAAAAAAAAGGATAAAATTCAATAAATCATTGATTCTAATGGCTTAGTTTAAAGAACGAACTAAACAAAGGCTCAATATAGTGGTGTTTCCCATACACGATATGAAACTAAAGAACTAATGAATGAACAACTAAAATCATTATGAGATCAATTTAAAGAACAGGATTATGTCAATTATTCTTTAAAGTGAAATATTGTCAAAATAGTATTTATTAAAAATTCATATATCTTATTGTTGTAGATTAATGTTGAAATTCAACCAATATGAATCAAGCGTATGTTTTATTACAAACATGATTGGAAATCACTTCTATTTTATTGTTGAAGAGTCAAACAGTTTTTGAATGGTTTATACCTCCCAAAAAACATGTATGGTATAGTTATGTATTTAGTATTGTATAATTGTGTTTGGTATAATGGTGTATGGTGTATAGTGGTACATTTAGAATAGTGTATTGTGCATAAGGAATGTTGTGTAGTGTTTACATTTAGTTCGTATCATAAAAGATGTTTTGAGGATTTTTGTTTTTATGTTTTTGCAGCGATTGTGTTCTTCGTGTTGATTACAGAACGTAAATTAGGAAAGAAAAAAGGTAAAAGTAACTTGTTCATCTATCTGGTTCCTTTACATCCTTCACAAATATTCGTCTTTGAGTGTTCCTGATCAAGGTAAGTTCAGAAATGCGCTTCGGACGCATGAAATTAATAAAGTGTTGTTTTCATTTTTTACAGCACTTGGTTGATATCAAGGGTATCATCTTCTCAGTAGTTAGTGCTTGCGTATTGACATGATTTATAACAAGCATTATTTAACATGTCCGTTGATAAATAAAGAAATTAAAATAGAACTAAGGTTTTAACTCCCTCAGGCAAAGTCAACCTTAGATAAATTTGGCTATTATTTCAAGGTCCGTTTTAGTCAAATAACTCTTCAACTGTTTCAGGTCTCAAGCCTCGGTCACACCTTTACGGATAGCTCGAACGGATGCCGAACAGATAACTTTTTTTCAATCCGTTCATGTCTATTATATGTCCGTTTTTATCCGTTAGACGTCCGGCCATTTCCGTTTCATGTCCGTTTAGCGTCCGTTTTATCCGTCGAAGTCTGTTCTGACGTGAGGAAAATTTTGAGCATGTTCAAAACTTTGAACGGACGTCCAACGGATGAAGTGTCCGTTGAACGTTCGGTAGGCGTCCGTTTTGTACGGTACTTGTCCGTTTCGTTTCCGTTTTCTATCCGTTACTTGTCCGTTATACATCCGTTAGAAGTCCGGTAGACAAATTCACCAACGGACTTCTACCGGACGTATAACGGATAAAACGGATGATGAACGGATGGGAAACGGACATGAACAGAAGGATAACGGATACCTACCGAATGTAAAACAGATAAATGCCAATTTAAAATTTCGCGTTACTCAGAAATAACAATTATTGATATGTCAGATTTCTTGAGTGTCATGAAGTCTATTACTCATGATGAATCTTGGAGTAAAAGCATGTCTTCACTATCAAGCAGCTCTTATTCAGGTCCGACTGAACTTAAATGTTGCAAATATAAACCTACTAGTTGTCGAAAGGAGAAGAAAGAGAAAACAAAGGAGATGGTGGGCAAGATCATTGCTTAGTCCTGAAAGATATGTATTATTATTATCGCTTTTAATTTTCCGCTAATCTTGTTCATTCGTTTTATCCGGTACGCTTCCGTTAGGTGTTCGTTTTATGCGGTACTCGTCCGTTGGATGTACTTTCGACGTCCGTTCTGTCCTCCGGTACATTTCAGTTTCTCGTACGTTGCATATCCTGTGAGTGTCCGTTAGGCATTCGTTACCCGCTCGTTTTCTTTGATCAGTATACCAACGGACACCCAACGGATACAAATTTTGTCAACGATAAACTTTTTTTTTCATCTGTCGGCGTCCGTTCGAGCTATCCGGTAAGGTGTGACCACAGCTTTATACATCCTTGACTTTTAAATATTTAGCTTTGAACATTCCTCAGAAAATCCAGAAAAACGCTTTGGACGCAAGAAATTTATAAAGTGTTGTTTTCGTTTTTTAATGAATACACAATGGTTATGGCTTTTGAATAAACAATAAAAAGTTGTGCGATGAAAAAAATATGAAACCTGTTCGAAAACAAATAACTTCAATATTGGTTCTGGAGAACAGGAGTCCTTCAATTCATTCACATAATCTACCAAACTGAGTCGAAAGAAACAGTGACGAGCCTATTCTCAAAGAATAATCCTTTTTATTCCATGTTATGAAATGTGTAATATGTCCAATATATATTATAACAATTATTAGTAAAATTAAAATTGTACAAATTTACATTTTACGAAGTCAAAAGAATTTAACTTTTTCACATCTGTTGTCAACTGATGTAAAATGTTTATTGCCAATAATAAACAGGTTCTGTAATAACACGTTACCCTCTGTTATATGGTTATCCAAGGAATCGCTACACTCACAGTGATGCCCGATTGGTGCATCTTACAAGCTGCTACGTCATCCCGGATCAGAGAATTAAAATGTATAATTGCTTGAGTGAGTACTGGTTTCAAAAACTTTTTTTCTAATAAAAGGATACTAGAAATAAAGATCCAACAATGAAATAACAAGATAATGCGTTAACAACATTTTTTTTTTCATATGTCATTGCGAAAGTTTATCAGGTAAAGGTGTTCTCGTCGAGGTCCGCATTCTTCGAATGTAAATATTGCGTTTCAAATAATAATTTTAGTAATAAGTGTATCTGGCCGATCTGTGTATTTTTGAATGATTGCCCTGTCTTATGGTGTTACTATATCCAAGCTCCTTCGTCAAGTCCGTGTATCTAGTGATTTTATATTTCAATGAACATAAAGTATGTATCACAGGTAATTTATTTAGCCAGGAATTTCATTACCCCTACTTGAAACCTTTCCTAAATTATTTTATATATACAAATTTGATTTGCAAGGTTCGGTGTACCTGTAGAAAAAAATAGTATAAAGGGGATATCACATTTTAAGTTGTATGGTGATATTGTTTATATTGCCTGCAAATTAAGATACAATCTCTAAAAACCTGTGGATGAATTAAATAAACTTATTCTAAATTAAAGTTTATCAATTTAACATCATAATCAGATCTTTGAATATATTTTAATTTAAACAAAACTAAATCAATGTATTAATGCTGTACAGCTATTGTCACTCACTGTCATACATTCTTGCATTTTGACATTGCATAAGACAACGTTTTTCTCTGGACGTTTTAGTCGTTCGTGACGTCTTTACACTAAATCAATAGGATGTATACTGATCAATATTTTTGTCTCGATACATGATTTTTTTTTAAATTGTAGTTGTTATTGGCTTTCAATAACATGTAGCTTTCTTTATACTTAACTGCTATTATTTTCAAGTCTTTATGTGTCACATATCCTTTTGTTATTTTTTTTTCTTGTGTGTGCTTTGTGTCGATCTGTGGAGGAAAGTCTTTTTCAACTGATTTTCAACTCAACATATATCGAATTTGAAAAGGGATGAGGATAAACCAAAGAAATATTCAGTCGTAAGTCGAAAACCGACTAAAGATGACATGGCAAAATAACGACAAACGACCGAAAGACAAACAACCGGCTACAAAACACTGAAAAGAAAACAAAAGGTTTTAGATGGTCTTCTTGTCTTCATGTAGGACTATTGATGGTGACTGGTCTGTTGTGTCAAGTTTCTTTCAACTGATTACTATTGCTTCATCTTATGTTCTGTTGTTAAACCACTATCTCAGGTCAGGTGGAGACAGACACAAGCCAACATGTCTAACCCAACAACATTATGTATGTGCCCGTCCTGAGTCAGCAGCATCTAAGTCCGTAGTTATCATTTGTTGCTGTATTTCGTATTTGTGTTTCGTTTATTGTTTTGTACAAAAACCATGCTGTTCATTTTTTGTTTGATTTGTTTTGATTTTCATGTCAGGGCCTTTATAGCTTGCTATGCGGTATAGGTTTTGTTCATTGTAAAACAACGAAATAAGTTGCTTACTCCTACGACATATGGTCTCCGGTGAAGATTTCCTGCAGTGGCAATCATCTTATTGAATTAGGGCAAATACACCTCCCAACAAAATATCATTAACAAATAATTATAAATTCCTCTGAATTTGACCATATCAAAATGATTCACATATCAAGAATGAACAATTTTCAAGATGAATGAACATTGACTAGAGAATGGGGCTTTGTAATATGTTTACTTTATTAAAAATAAAATCAAATTACATATTACTGAAGATTATAATCAAATATCTTACCTCAATTTTAAAATGATAACCTCCAAGTATAATTTTATTTCATGGCTAATATCTAAAATCACAGAGTATGATGGGATATTTTGTTTGCAATAACACAAGAACAGAACAACATGGACATACGACGAAGCCACATTTACCACTAAAAACTATGTATACATATCCAATACGAAAATAAATGTTACATAAAACGATATCAAACATACACGACATGAGAAATGATACTGGAGCAGTAAAATTATTTGTATGTTTGTTTGAAATTTTGAGTCAAATGTGTTCTATTTTTGTCATGTATGTTTACACAGTTTTGGCTGTTGGATCCAAATTATTTTCACATTAAAAAATTGTGTCTGCTTGCACTGAGATGACGACATAGTTTTGTCAATTAAATAAAACTATTAACATTTGTTATACAGGTGGGAGTTTTAGCTAGCTAAGAAACAAGGTTAAACCCACCATATTCTTTGGAAAATGCCTGAACCAAGTCAGGAATATGTCAGTTGTATTCCATTCGTTCGGTTGGTTGGTATTTTTGTAAATATTTGGGACATTGATATGATATATCATGTTAATGATACAATGTAACAGTTTTCCGGAGTTCGTATTCCACATCTAACAGTCAACTAAAAAGTACTTAAGAAAGCTAATGATAAAACGGATTGAAATATTTTAACAACATTAATGCGATACGACCAAAACACTAGAACAATACAAAAAATATTAAAATGATTTAATGATGATTTGTATTAATTTGATTTGATTTTTGGTGTTTTAACGCCTCTTTTTAGCACCGCTTTTGGGCTATTTCGTGGCGGCCAGTTTTTATTGGTGGAGGAAGCCTGAGTGCCCGGAGAAAACCACCGACCTTCGATAGGAAAACTGACAATCCTAGTCAATTAAGATTGGAGTCGAGTGCACCCGCACGAGCGAGGTTCGAACTCACAAACTTGGTGTGGACTGGCTAGTGATTACAGTAGTAACTACTAAGATGATTTGTATTAAGCAATTGTCTATCATTATATATCTCCTTTTTTGATAATGGCAATACTATTTTAGAAACAATATGGTTAAGATGTATTTTTACATTATGATAACATTAAAATTGATTACTACATAGACAAAGATCAAACGTTCCTAAAATATGATATTTTTTTCAAAAGAGGTAAGACAAAAATAACACTTTATGAATTTTAAACTTCCGAAGCGTTCGTCTTTATCTTCAATTTGAACACTCACATCCGAATAGTTGAAAGCCCAGTATGTACCAAAACAAATTAAGAGCTAATTTTCAAAATGGACTTAATTATAATAACTAAATCCATCTTAGGTCAACTTTGCCTGTTGATTTCTAAATCTTAGTTTCTTAATAGTGCCTACATTTATAAACGGACAATTTGAGAAAGAAATGTTATAAATCATTTCATTACCGAAGCATTGACTACTTAGCTGATTATAGCTTATAGTCCACCAGTTGAGGTATGCTACAATAAAAATGAAAATACATTTCATGTGTCCAAGTCACTTTTCATGATTTATCTTAATCAGGAATGCTCAAAGCGAAATATTTAAAAGCCAAGGATGTATCATTACCGATACAAGAGAAGAACTATATGACCAAAAGGGACATGAAATAATAGCCAAATCCATCTAATTGTCGATTTTCGATGTTTATTCACCACATTCAGATCAAAGGGGTAAATCGTTCTTTTAATCAGTTAAACAGATATTCATAAGTAAATCCTAGAAGAGGGAGATGGTAAGGTTGTTACATCTATAAAAAACACAAAACGTTAACCTTAAATCAAACCTTTGATAAATCATTTGATAAACCAGTATGTAGAAAAAATGATTAAAATAATACACTTAAATCAACAGGTATATCCCATGAAGTTGAAAATCTTGGAAAACCATCGATAGCAAATAACGAAGAGGAGAACTCAAAAAAAAACTTAAAATCCGTAACATCAGTAGCCAAACTGAAAACAAATGATGAAACAATTATATCAACACATGCAGTGGAAACCACAGGATTAGTAAGACATGCAGAAATCAAACAGGAAACTACATCAGCCGAGGAGAACTTACAGAGTGATCTAAATGCACAGCTGGAATCAAAGGATGCAGCATTGAAGAAAACCAAATTAGAACATAAAAAGGTCGTTGAATTAAAAGATGCTAAGATTCTGGAACTTGAAATGTTATTGAAAGAAAGAAATGAATATATGAAAAAGAAAGAAATAGAGGATCAGGAGAAAGAAGCACAAAATCGTGAAATTATCAGAAAACTTGAAATGGAAAGACGAAATTTGCATAATAAGATTCAGGATTTAAATGGCAACATAAGAGTATTCTGTAGAGTTCGACCATTACTTAATCACGAAAAACAAGGAAATAATTGCACCATAGATCACATAAATTTTCCTGATCAAAAGACAATAGAGGTTGTCAAAACTGGGCATGCGTCAGAGAGTAAAAACAAATTGCAAAAAACGTTCAATTTTGACAAAGTATTCAGTAACAAAGCCACGCAAGATCATGTGTTTACAGAAATTTCACAGTTAGTTCAGAGCGCACTGGATGGTTTTAACGTTTGTATCTTCGCTTACGGTCAGACAGGTTCTGGTAAGACTTATACAATGGAAGGTACTTATGTAAATGATGATGATGAAAATAGGGGAATGATCCCAAGAGCAGTTCTACAAATTTTCAATACAATAAGAAAGCTAAAAAGTGAAGGTTGGAAATATAATGTAGACGCCTCATGCTTAGAGATATACGGAAATGTAATTAATGACTTGCTTTGTGATTACAAGGTTGGCCCTAAACCTGAAATTAAAGATAATAATAATGAAGTTTATGTTTCCGACTTAACAATTATACCAGTCACTGAAGAAACAGAGGTATATCTATTGTTACAAAAAGCATCTAAGAAAAGGAAAGTGGCAGAAACGAAGAGCAATTTGAGGTCATCCAGAAGTCACAGTGTATTCACACTAAAATTAACGGGAGAAAATTCAATTACCAAAGAAACCACTAAAAGTACCTTAAACCTGGTTGATTTGGCTGGTAGTGAAAGACAAAAAACATCTGGAACAGAAGGTCAACAAATTCAGGAGGCTATAGCTATAAACCTATCATTATCTACCCTAGGTAAATTCATCAGAGCTATAAAGGATAAAGACAAATTTCTACCTTACAGGGAGTCTAAGTTGACTCTCTTGTTACATAGAGCTATAGGAGGAAATAGTAAAACTCTCATGTTCGTCAACGTTTCTCCTAAGATAGATTGTGTTGAGGAAACTATTAACTCTCTAAAGTTTGCCACAGAGGCGAACCAGTGTAAAAAGGGAATTGCACAACAGAACAAATGATATTAAGAATGTATTCCTGTTGTGATGATGCCAATGTTGACTGCATACGTGTCTGTTGTATTGTTGTATCCATTTTTGTCTTGCTATTGTTGGATTGAGCACAATTAATTATTTGTATTGATATCTTGGACATATTATATTGTAGTAAAACATATAAAGATGAACAACTTGCATTGTCAGATTAATCTTACAGTATTTGTACCAATAAACTGATTTTCGGATCATGGTCTGTTCATATTCATTTTGGCGTATGTTTCTAATAATTTTCATGAAAAAAAATATTATCGAATAAATACTGTAAACATTGTAAAAAAAGTTAGAAACGTATGATTGCTAAGATTACAAGTCTCAAAACTGATACGTTTGACTGCGTTTGACTCTTTAATATGTACATATGTTTTTTTTTATTTGCTGCAGTGTATTGTCATAAATCTTTATCATTCAGTTATTATGTCACCCGTACGACAATGTCGGGTGACATATTGCTTTTCCTCCGTTTCTTTATTATGGAACCCTCAACGGAGTTGGGGTGACATCTTGTTATTCTACGTTTCTTTTTGTTCTTATTTTTATTATTATTATTTTTCTTCCACTATTTTTGTCCGGGGCAGTTCTCGTAATTGAATGGACCAAAGTTGTTGGAACTATGCTATAATGTTGACCACCATGTCAAGTTGTCCCTCTGACTTTTGAATGGCAAGATGGCCACGGTTACCATGGAAACTGCTAAAATGCGAAAAAATTTTAAAATTCTAAATCTTTTATTATAAGTCATAACTGGATGAAACTTTATGGAAATGCAACTTGGCTTGCCTAGATGTGCACACAATATTCAGAAGTTCCAACATGGCCGCCATTGTCTTGGAAACAGGGCAAAAAATTAGCATTAGCCCTATGAGAAAATACATAAAAGCTGCATTTTCTTAAGGAATATTAGAACAAACCTAATGAAACTTTAATATGTTACGTGGCATGTCCCAAAGTGGCACCTGTCTTTGGAATTTTGGAAATAGTAACCGCTACCATGGAAACAGCAACAATTTCAAAAACTTCAAAATGCTCAAAACGAGATGAAATTTTACAACAATGTTAACAAACATGTGGGGGGGGAGGGGAGGGGGGGCGAGAGTGCCATCCGTTATTGCTTGCAATTACAAATCTAGTTATGGCACACTCAACGGAGTTGGGGTGACCTATTGTTATTCTACGTTTCTTTTTTTTTCTTATTATGTCACCCGATCGACAATGTCGGGTGACATATTGCTTTTCCTCTGTTTCTTTTTCTGTATTATTATTATTAATATACTTCCACCTATTTTGTCCGGCTGTTTTCTTGGAGCCTTGTGAAAAAAAATCAAAATTCTAAATCTTTTATTATAAGACCCAACTGGATGAAACTTTATGGTAAGTGTCGTGAGGGTATATGTTGAGTTTCCAAGTGAATTGTCAATACCTAATTCATTTATCAAGCAGTTTATGTAATGATATTTACACACAAAAACCCTCGTTCAAACCAATACAAACTTACAGCTATCATTTCGGATATTGCAAGTCACAGACTTTTCAAACCAGTTCGCATTGGAAAAGATGAAAAAGAGAAAAGATCTTTTCTTAATCTTTCCTTTGCCAACAAAGGTCTCGATGGCGTCAACTTAGGCAATATCCTTCATCATAAATGAGTTCACTCGAAAATACCTCCTTATTTTAAAGATCAGTCTGTACCAATAATTTCTTATACCTATACCAAACCAATTGCAACTAAAATTTTCAATTACAAACACGTTTTGCAGGATCTCAACATTGACGACTTCAAGTCTAAACCTCCTGATTGCACCTGTGCTAGTTCCCAATTCACATATAATCCGGCTGGCCACGTTATTACCGGAGACCTCAACATTGTCAATAACACTTTCCTGCGAAATTTGTTATCCAAAGGTCCGAAATATCGTGAGCCTAAATCCATCAATTGGAAATACAACTTCAAAATACTGATGGATTCAGTCGAGGATTATGCCAGGCAATGGGCTAAACGCGAGAAAGAAGACGTAGATACTCTTTCCGAATGGATTAAGGCTGTGAGGTCGTTGATACAAATCCGAATTAAGAAACTAAATGGGCATATCAATACCCACGCTACATCAATTTTTAAAGACCCAAATGTTGCAAAACACTTGACCTACCTCCATGACAAATATGTTGTTGTCCCCGCATATAAAGCCCCAAACAACATCGTTTTTGTGTGTAAATATCATTACATAAACTGCTTGATAAATGAATTAGGTATTGACAATTCACTTGGAAACTCAACATATACCCTCACGACACTTACCAAAGAGGAATCCTGGATAATCATAGGTCTGTTCTATGTTCCTTTGGAATTTCAACCAAAGATGAAGAACTGGATCTTCCATCACTGTATTGGATACCTAAACTACATAAGTGTCCTTACAAACAACGGTATATTGCTGGGTCTTCCAAGTGCTCCACGAAACCTCTTTCTAAATTATTAACATCTATTTTATCAGCAATCAAAGCCGGGCTCCAAAGTTATTGTGAAACTGCCTATTCTAGAGGTGGCGTGAATCAGATGTGGATACTAAAAAATTCCAAAGATCTTTTATAGTACATACAATCTAAGACTCTCTCATCTTGCAATAGTATTAAAACATTTGACTTTTCTACACTTTACACAAGTATTCCCCATTCCAAACTAAAAGACAAATTGAAAGAGTTGGTATTACTCTGTTTCATTAAAAAGAATGACGAACGTAGATACAAGTATCTTGTCTTGGGGAGGGATAAATCCTACTTTGTAAAGAATCACTCTGATTCAAACAAAAAATTCTCTGAAACTGACATTATCAAGATGCTTGATTTCTTAATTGACAACATATTTGTTATGTTTGGAGGACGTGTTTTTCAACAGACTGTCGGAATTCCAATGGGAACAAATTGTGCCCCTCTTCTTGCCGACTTGTTTCTTTATTATTATGAGGCTGACTTCATACAGGAACTTCTTAGGAAGAAAGATAAGAAGTTAGCAATATCCTTTAACTCTACGTTCCGCTATATAGATGATGTTCTCTCACTAAATAATACAAAATTTGGTGACTATGTTGAACGAATCTATCCCATCGAACTAGAGATAAAGGATACTACAGATACAGTTAAGTCTGTCTCATATCTTGACTGACATCTAGAAATTGACAATGAGGGTCGGTTGAAACAAAACTTTACGATAAAAGAGATGATTTCAGCTTCCCAATTGTGAACTTTCCATTTCTATGTAGCAACATTCCAGCAGCGCCTGCATACGTAGTATATATATCCCAATTGATACGATATTCCCGGGCTTGTCTTTCCTATCTTGATTTCTTTGATAGAGGATTGCTGCTCACAAGGAAGCTATTAAACCAAGAGTTCCAAATGGTGAAGTTGAAATCATCCCTTCGTACATTTTACGGACGCCATCACGAGTTGGTTGACCGTTATGGAATAACCGTTTCACAGATGATATCGGATATGTTCCTTATGTCGTAACTACAATACCCTTCCCTTTTCACGAATGTGACTTACCGAATTAGACTTTTTACCGGATTTGTAATGACATAAGCAATACGACGGGTGCCACATGTGGAGCAGGATCTGCTTACCCTTCCGGAGCACCTGAGATCACCCCCAGTTTTTGGTGGAGTTCGTGTTGCTTAGTCTTTAGTTTTCTATGTTGTGTCATCTGTACTATTATTTGTCTGTTTGTCTTTTTATTTTTGGCCATGGCGTTGTCAGTTTGTTTTCGATCTATGAGTTTGACTGTTTCTCTGGTATCTTTCGTCCCTCTTTTATGGGAATATTGCCTGGCATGCCAAGATGTGCTGACCATATATAGAAATTCCAAAAGGGCTGCCATTACCATGGAAACCGGTAATAAGTTAACCATTGAATCCTATGGGAAAATTCCTAAAATAGAATATACTCACTTAACATGGTAGGTCAAACACCGTGATTCTTTCATGGAATATTCACTGTCATGTCCCAATGTGGTAACTGTCTTTCGAATTTTGGAATTATTCACTGTTACCATAGAAACAACACAAATACAAAAATGTCCAAAAATTTCAATATGCCCCAAACTTTATGAAACTTTACAAAAATGTTAACTGGCATGTGCAGAGCTGCTATTTGACTTTGGAATTTCCAAAATGTCCACCGTTGCCATGGAAACAGCAAAAGTGTCAAAAATTTCAAAATGATCCAAACTTAACGAAATTTTACAGAAATATTAATTGGCATATATATATTTCTGATGTTCGACTTTGGAACTTTCAAAATGGCTGCCGCTTAGTGGCAATGGGGGTGGGTGACATCCGCTATTGCTTGCAATAGCAATTCTAGTTTTTCTTATTCTTCTTCCACACATTTTGTCCGTCGTGTTTCTCGGAATTTAATGGACCAATGTTGATGGAACTTTACTATAATGAGGACCCCCATGTAAAGTTGTGCACCTTGGTATGGAATGGTTCAAGATGGCCGCCGTTTCCATGGAAACAGCAAAAATGCGAAAAAAATCAATGTTTCCCAAATGGAAAGACACTTCACAGAAATGGTAACTGGCATGTGCTGATTTGCAGTTTGACTTAGGAATTTTCCAAATGGCCGCCCTTACCATGGAAACTGCAAAAATGTCAAATATTTCAAAATGCTCCAAACTTAATGAAACTATATATGATTGTTAACTGGCAAGTATAGATGAGACTGTTTACTTTAGAATTTCCAAAATGGCTGCCGTTGCCATGGAAACGGCTGAAATGTGAAAAATTCCAAAATGCTCAGAATTTACTAAAAAATTACAGAAAGATGTATAGCAATGCATATATGTGCATTCACTGTTTAAAATTTTCAAAATGGCTGCGCTTAGTGTCAATGGGGGAAGGGTGACATCCGATATTGCTTGCATTGGCAAATCTAGTTATTATTATTACTATCATTATTCCACCTTTTTTTGTCCGTCCGTTTTCTCATAGATCAATGGACCAATTCTATTCAATGGGTACCATAATGAGGACCACCAACTCTAGTTATGCACGACAACTTTGGAAGTTTTTAAATGGCCACCGTTACCATGGAAACCAAAGAAAGTTAAAAAAATAAAATTTTTGAGTTTGGTGGATTATTTGGATATGCATAAACTTAGAATCATGATATTTCAATGTAGGTGCCCACTATATACTGGTTTTGGATGAT